TTTTTTTTCCACAACCCAGCAATATCATCTCACGAATTTATATAAAATAAACTAGCTTACCCGGCAAACATTGTTTTGCCATGTATATTATTTCTAGGAAACATTTTTTTAGTACAATAAAAATAACTATCTACTATAATAAAAAATAGGGGTTGATCGTAGAGGGTAGATGAAAATTAAGGGTTGTATGTATTTTTGTATGTTTTATTATCATGAAAAAATAAAAACAAAAAAATTTGTCTAAAAAATAAAATAAAAGTTTGGGGTGGACACTCCTTATCACTTAGGGGTTTGAAAGATTCTCAGACTTACTGAATATGCATAAAAAATTTCATAACAATCGGTCGAGCCGTTTCGGAGGAGTATGGGAACGAACGTTGTGACACGAGAATTTTAGATAAAACAAATAAGCAATTATTTAATATAAATAAAAGCGTTAGTTAATTATTCGTAAGCGTATTTAAATCGGTCAAGTTTGTGCCAAATATAATTTAATTTGCTCAATATTATTAATTTGATTATTCATTCAAACGGATTTAGATTATTAACAACTGAATATCAGTTACCGTTATAATTAGCTTTGTAATGAAACTCGTGGCCTCAGTTAAATATTTAAAATTTTATAAAGTTATTCATGTGAGTTAATAAATACTGCCATATTAAAATTACCTGACATAAAGAATAACGGTCACAAGCGATATCTTATTGAGTCGATGAATTAAATGGAAAGTCGATTAAAGATCTGATTTAAATTTTTCATACTTGTCTTATTCAAATAATAATTGTATTTATTTTATACGTAAGTAGGTGATCAATATTCTGTGCTTGTTGATATGTAAATTTTTAGCCTAGCCCTCAAAAGTCTGAGATTTCTAAAAACTTAGGATTTTGAATTTTACTGATATACGGTAACTCACTCTAGGTGCTCGTCTCTAAACCTTCCCAAGAACTTGTTTCCTTCACGGTTCGAGCAAATGTTAATTGCGCTCATTAAAAGTGAAACCCATACCTTATACGCTTAGGACTTAACTCACCATATCTTCATTAAATACCTGCATATTTACTCAAAGGGAATAAATCGAAATAAATACGGCTGTCAAGACTTGAAACAAAATAGGTCCTTCATGTAGTTCATACAAAGACAACATACAAACTATTCTGTCAGCTGTCAATGTGTCAACTTGACAGATCCACTTAATTTGAATCGTGGGATTCATCGCGTTTGCACAGAACCAACAAAGATTTTGCATTATTGATCATGTGAATATTTTTCATGACTTGAATGCAGCTATGTAATTCTGCATATCATAAAAAAATTATACATACTTGATCTTTAGACATATGTAAATGTTTATATTTTATCGTTTCTATTTTTATATCTAATTTAATTATTTTAGAAAAGTTATGTTAAAAAAAGTAAAATGTTAATATAATGATAAATACGCTTTCTATATCGATATAAATGTCAAAATTAATTGTCAAAGTTAGAATTTTGTAATTTACTTTAAAAAGCATATTACTAATAAAAAATTACAATTATATAGCTTTTTATATATTTAGCAAATGAAAATGCTGATCTTGAAGGAAATGTTTAATAGGGATAAAATTTACATAATATTTTTGAAGTTATACTTGCTTTAGGGAATAATGATGAGAGTAAATTTTTACGATGCGCGCGCACACCGTCACAAAAAACCGACACCCGTACACCGTCACAAAAAAACCGACACCCTGAATATCTGTTCAAACGTAGGTAAAACAGTCTGGGCCGCTAGTTGGCGCTTGCTCTGTTTTATCGCTAAGTTGCATTGTCTGTCATGTTTTTCAGAGTCGTGTTTATTTAAACCAAAATAATATGAGAAAACCCGTTCCAATGTGATGAAAAACGTAGTGTTTATTGGAAAATACCATGATTATTCCATATTATATCGTTTCGATTGGAAGTGACTATTAAAATGGACAAGAACAATGCAATTCGAAGACAGAAACGTCGCTCTAAAGTGCTCGAAAAATATATTATACATATAAATTACACCAAAAAAGTAGGTATAACTTCTAACGCGTGTACATAAGAACACACACGTTTTTTCTATATTAATTTTGATATAATCAAATTCAAGTCACTGGTTCAGTAATATAACTCAATTTTGCATTCATTCAGACGTCATTGTCCTTTAGTTAAACACAAATCTGAACTGCAAGTTCTGAATTGTGATAAATGACGACGGGTCACGCTCCTTAATTTTCATTTTGTCTCCTGTAGCCAGTTAAAGTGGCTACAGTGCTCGACCCCTTTCATTAATTTGACTCTGGTTTGTCATTATTACACGCTTTTAAATATCTCAGCGTTTTCTTAACTCTTTAGTACAGTAACAGCTTGATTAAATTCAGACGACATTCGCGGTTTCACGGCGATGTTCCTAATACAATAAATTTAGTTAAAATATGGGGTAAAAGTAATTTCAGTTCCATTCAGGTTGCGTATAAATTATTTTAAACATTTATTTCTTATCTGGTCTAATATCGGATACCTCACGATTATAATGAAACGATGCCTCACTTAGCTGGTTATTTTGAATGTTATGGTTTCATTATCTTCATCTAGTATAAACGAACTTGTTTCCGTTTAACTTTTTTCGTTTGAAATATTACAGTCTAAAAAAATACTATTAAATTTATATGATATGTATCATGTATTGTAATCACAGTAATAATTTTACGACGTTGGTAAATACTTATACGTACCTACTGCATAAAAATTTCTCCAAAAACCGTTTTTTAATAATCTTAGTCATTCTATTAGCAGCTTCATTCCAAACTTTTTTAATAGTAGATAGTATAGTCATGTTAGATTCGTAACTCAACCAGCGCACGCGTCGTCCAATTTTTAAAAAAATACGTACAATACGCGTAAAACATGTTTGTATAATAGAGGTTCAAAGAAACTAACAATGAATTGCACAGAATATTAATTATAAATAACCTCGTAAATATAGTTCGTGTCGCCATGTGCTGTGGTTTAATAAAGACTTAATCAAATTGTCACTCGTTCCAGATAATAATTAAACGAAGAAACTTTAATTAACGTAATACAATTGTCAATAAATTAAGTTCTTTGCGCAACCCTCAGAAGTCAATTATAAATAAAGCTCGTTCCGCTGCGTTGCGAACTTGTTTAAAAGTAAATAGCTTTGGAATCAGAAATCTTGTGAAATATAACTTGAAAGGGTTCTAAGATCAATATGATAGAGGTTGCTTGGGGTAAAAATTTGATTTTAAGGTAATTACAGTAGGTAGTGAAATAGTTTTTTTTTAAAACTTGGCTTAAAAAAATCTTATGAACGCTACTCATAACGCTAATAACGACTATGTGGAACCAGCTGCCCAATAAAGTATTTCCGAATCAATTCGACTTAGCGTCCTTCAGAAAACGTATCAATTTTGAAAAGGCCGGCAACGCTCTTGCGAGCCTCCTTCTCGTTTGCAACTTGTTTGCCCCGTTCTATAAGAAAAATATAAATATCTTTTAAATATTAAAAACATAACATTAAGTCTATTGGTAAATTTATAATTTCATGTGTATACAGCCAACGATCTTGCAAAGCTTGTAGCATGTATTACAATAATAATAATCGAATCATGATTATTGATAAATGATGATAAGTAATAATTATATATTCCAATGGTGCTACAACCTTTTAGGTCTTGGCTTCAGATTTCTGGTAGGTGATCAACTTTCTGTATCTAACACCGTCGACTTTGAGGGTCTGATGCATGATGGTTTCCTCATGATAATTACTTTCATCGTACGAGTGAAATGTGCATAGAGACAGAAAGTCCATTGCACAGCCGGGGATCGATCCTACGATCCCAGGGAAAGTAATAAACATACCAATTCGAATTAAAAACACTTTGTATTTGTTATTGGAGTTCTTAAGGTTTCAACTTAAAATGAAATATAATTAAAAAATGAATGACTTTTCAACCTAAGTCTTTTTGCATTATTCGTTCTTCGCAATGATTAATTGAGAAAATTAAATAGTTGAATAAGATACCAAGAAGCTGAAAAGAGTCAAGTTTTGATCCTAAAACTTCGTAGACGACACGGGCATCAATTAGTTACGAAAAAAATATTAACGTTAAATTTTTTAGGTCAGTGACTTTATATTTGTTCAAAAACTGTGAAAAGGACCTAAACGATGCTATTATCATTATAATAAATGCCCATTATTAAGGTTTATTGCTGTTTTAGACTTTTTTATAGCTCAAATTATTCAAAGTTCAAAAATAGGTTATCCGTACTAAGTGCTGTAAAGTTGAAAGCTGTCAAAACAAAATGTTAATGCTTATAAATTTTACATTTACTGGACACCTCTCCGCCACTTTTTTCAATCGCCAAATTATTTGTTTGTCATAATATTTGTATTACTGCAACCATTAAACCCACATGCCATCGTCAATAATTAACTAACCTGTTTATATAAGTAAGAAAGTTTGACGAGCCCTGTTAAAAATACTTAAAGTAGGATGATGAATTAAATCTAGTATAAAAACTCGTGCTTTTTTATATTTCCTGCCTATAGAGAAAGGAAGATGCTGCTCTTTCTTCGATCTAAAGGGTCCTAACCCAGTCTAAAGGCCCCAGTGGCTAACATCAAGTAGTAGTATGTATCATTTGCGGTAGGAAAATTTGTTAGCGCGTTTCAGGTTATCATGGTAATGTGCATATATACCTAATACTTTTACTACCCACTTATTTAAGGCCTAGAATTTAATTTGTACTTATAAATGCTAGCCAAAAAGGCGTGGTCCTCTCGATACGCACTAGCCCTGAAGCTGTCCAGCACTTGACCACGACTGAGCAAATAACGGAACTATTAGTCCAAACAAATAAAACGTAATATATCTCAGAAATATAGTAAAAATATAAATGTATATCCTTCTAATCGAAAACGAATCGTTGATATTCTAGACCTAACAAGCATATTCTTTACAGAACTATGCGGCCGATATTACCCCTTCTCAGCATATGCTTCACGCTGCTCTCGAGTGGTACTTCAAGTGGAGATGATAGAAGATGGCTGGTATCCTTAATAGACCTGGTAGAGTTGGACTATCAGGACCAATGTGGGCAGCGAGCCACTGCAGCGTGGGACGAACTCACTGGAAGTAACAAAGGGTTGTCTTTAAAGGTAAATACACAAAATTCACCTAGCAATTGGCTAGGCAAAATCTATTACATTTTATGTTTATTCCGCGTCCGGCATTTCATTCCATAGCAATCTAATCTAGATTAAGTAACTTTAAAAAAAGCAGCAGCAGTGTTGACCTAGTGGCTTCAGCGTGCGACTCTCATCCCTAAGGTCGTTAGTTCGATCCCCGGCTGTGCACCAATGGACTTTCTTTCTATGTGCGCATTTAACATTCGCTCGAACGGTGAAGGAGAACATCGTGAGGAAACCGACATATCTTAAACCCAAAAAGTCGACGGCGTGTGTCAGGCACTGGAGGCTGATCACCTACTTGCGTATTAAAAATGATCATGAAACAAATTCAGAGATCAGAGGCCCAGACCTAAAGAGGTTGTAGCGCCACTGATTATTATTTTCATTTCTTTTTTTCCATCACCGTGCGAGCGTATATTAAACGCGGAAATAGACAGAAAATCCATTGATGCACCGCCGGGGATCGTACTGACGACCTCAAGGATAAGGGTCGCCTGCTAAAGCCACTAAGACAACACTAGCTTTTAGGCATATCAAAATAACTTATCTCGAATTTAACTTAAATCCGCCTTATTACCTTAGAACCGTGAAGCTAAAATTATATCTCAAAAATAATACAATTAAAAAAAATAGCAACCTATGACGTTTTTTTAAGAATAATAAAACGTGTTATTTTATATTTTCATTAATACACTGTAAACTCTTTATAACGAATTTCAAGGGACCGAGCTTTTTATACGTTATAGAGAGTTCTTGTTATAGGGGGAGAATTAATGTATGGGTTAAACCAAATAAATTTAAGTATTTTTTTGTTACAACGAAAGACGTTATAAAGAGTTTACACTGTATATACTCTCTAGTGTTTTGAATTTCGATCTAACGAAAAGGGCGCCCTAGGCTACAATCGTAAACCAATTGTTATTTTATTAACCGACTTCGAGTACTTGAGTTGAGTATTGGTAATATTATATCTATTCAGGCTCAAGTTTACTAAACTTCGTAAGTGTATGTATTTAAGTTTGACCACAATTTTTTTGGAAACGAAAAGATATATTGATGAGCCTCGATAAAAAAACATCCCCACTTAAGGAACCGTCAACATTCAAAATCGGAGTAGGGCGAAAAATATAAATTAGTTTTATTAATATAAATAATGTATGGTGTATGAATAACTTTACAATTCCAACTAAATTTACAACGTTATAAGGTATTCTGTACTTAATATTATTGCTTATACCGCTCTGTACATAATAAAGCGAGCGGTATGAAGACTGTCGTAAGGCTTCATACATTTTGTCGTGTCTCGTCTTTTTCAAAGTGAGAAGCAGGTTCTTGAATTTATAACTTTTAAAGTGCAGACTTGGAGAATTGCTGTGAGACTTTTTAACGCATTGTATAAGGAAATAGTATGTAATTTAAGCGATTTTCAACTTAGATATTCAGCTAAGTTGGTGTTCAGATTTCTGTTAACGACATGGATAGTCTCTTGGCTCACTTGACCTTTGTTTTATGTAATTCTTACTTCTTAACCCTATAGTCCATTGAAATGTTACAATTTGAGGGCCAAACTGAACATTTGTTAGAAGACGCAATTTTATTTTTGGAATATGTAGGTTTATTAAACAAATTATGTCAGAACAATTTTGTAGATCTCTTTCTGAAGATTTTTCCTAAGATTTAAATTTAGTTAATTGTAGGCAAAGCTATTTGCTACAAAATATATCGTGACAAATTTTTTGTGCGATGGATAGCTTAGGAGATATAGCCAAAAACGTGTTTTCACCCCTTTATCCAAGATAGCGGCCGGGGTACAAGAGCGCCAACCCCACAAACTTGGGTTTAAGCTTGTATTGACACCACCTACATGTTCCATAAATAAAATTGCGTCCTCTATCAAATGTTCAGCAAATGTAACATTTCAATGGACTACTAAGAATTTTCTATTTTAACTCTAAGTTATCGATATATCCTTTCAAGACAGATTAGGAGACAAAATAGAAATAGTGTTCTCGTATTCAAGATTTCTTAAGAGGCAAGATAATCGCATTGTCCCTCGAACCCAAAATACTTGATACGGTGTAGTAGTATTTACTACGAAACTAAGTGTCCAAAGGCGCCATCTACTTTCACTACTGAGATTACATCAACAACAATATATATGTATATTAATGACATAAAAGTGTATTTGGGTCAATCGAATCCATCGGGAGTTCGACAGAATAAAGCCATAAAATGCTTGTCGTATCTAAAATTCTTATACAATTGGAAAATTATTTCCCTGACCTCGAAGCTTTATTGAGCCTTAAATTAGCCTTGGTTTTGTCTGAAGACTTTCGCAGTTAGTTAGTGTTTACTCACTGGGTACATCATTTAACCTAAAGATTAATGGTTCTATTTTCGCTAACAATATTTATTTCGTGTGCACTAGACACATATTTCTATTAATAACAATGTTCCTATTAAGGAAGTCACCAAAAATTAATCCCAAATATATACCATGTTAGCAGTTGAGCAGTGTTGGCCAAGTGGCTTCAGCGTGCGACTCTCATCCGAGGTCGTAGATTTGATCCCCGGCTGGACCAATGGACTTTCTTTCTAAATGCGCATTTAACATTCGTTCGAACGGTGAAGGAAAACATCGTGAAGAAACCGGCTTGCTTTAGACCCAAAAAGTCGACAGCGTGTATCAGGCACAGAAGGCTGATCACTTACTTGCCTATTAGATTGACAAATGATCATGAAACAGATACAGAAATCTGAGGACCAGACCTTAAAAGGTTGTAGCGCCCCTGATTTTTTTTTATATACCATGTGAGCTGCATCAGGAAAATGGGGAAACTTTTCTTCAACGCTTATACGATTGTTTGATAAATTGAATTAATTCTCTTCAAAATAGGTGTAATAAAAGTCGCATAGTGTAATTACAGAATTTTCTTTTAATTAAACATTTGTGTTAGTAAAAACTAGCGTTCCAACATTTGTACCCAAAGCATGTTTATTTATCGACGTTTATTTAGTAGCCCTTGTGTCTGAAGTTCGACAGAAGCAAAAAGGATTTAACAGAAGAAAGAACGGCCGCACTGCGATATTTTACCGCGATAACTTTACTAGTATAAGGATCACAAACAAAGTTGAGATTTGCGGCAAATAGGCATAACTCTCGAATGTTAAGAACGACATCTTAGTCTAGAAGGCCAGAAAAGAAGAAGACTCATAAAACTGCAATACTCATTCAAAAATGCTACAATAATTTCTCGCTACATAATATAAATCTTAAATGCATACCCATATATGGGCATGTCTTATCACGTAATTTTAAAGCTTATAGCAAGTTTCGTTGGTTCCTTTATAGTATTATTATTTTTTTAAAAATAGGGGGCAAATGAGGCGGAGGATCATCTGATGGATGATCATATTGCCCGAGATCTCGCTAGTGCGTAGCCGGCCTTTTAAGAATTTGTACGCTCTTTTCTTGACGGACTTAAAGTCGAATTGGTTTGAAAATAGTTCAGTGGGCAGCTGGTTCCACATAGTGGTGGTGCGCGGCAAAAAATGCCTTTTAAAACGTATTCTGCCTCGCCGTCGACGTCGATATTAAAAGTCGGGACAAATTCTCGCAGTGCGATCGTATCGTTAAACTAGTCTTATTTCCAAATCCATTAGAAAACAACGCAACGAGGACTTATTTACAATTTCTTTTGTCTGATATTTACTTGTTTGTTACTGTAGGGTTGCCTCGTTTGTACATGGAATGTTCATACAGAAGTACAAGAAATTTTGGTTACAAGGTTTTTGTATGTGTGTGCCTTTGTTAACTGTTGTATGATAGCCTTTTTTATACGTAGTTTGGTTCATGGTCCATACTCTCCTTAGTGACATTTGGAGGGTTATGTGGCACTCAGTCACCGTATCCTCCAAAAAACCCATCCACTTATTTTCGCTTACAACATAATTACTACTTATGAGATTAAAAAAGTCCTCCTGTTACACCTTGACGTCTGTCGTTCCTCTACTGAGTGTCTTCAGACGTTTTTGCCGCGCACCACCACCATGAAGAATTAGCTATCTACTAAAGTATTTCCGAACCAATTCTACTTGGGTGCTTAAAGAAAAGAGCGTACCAATTCTTAAAAGGCCGGCTACGCACTAGCGAGATCTCGGGCAATATGAGCGTCCATCAGATGATCCTCCGCCTCATTTGCCCCCTATTCTTTAAAAAAACTTTCTGACTGAAAAACTGCTTTTGACATTAAGACCGCCCATTCACATCCTTTGTTGTTTTATATTTTGTCCTATTATGTTATTGTTAATGATGTAAACAAGATGTTTTTCTTTTATCTATCTTTTTTTTAAATAAAAGAACAATTCTATTTAATTTAAGAACTTTATTCAAAATTAGTTCTGATTATTCTGAGAATAAATTAGATTTATCCTGAGGACATTCAACAACGATAGCAGCACATTGTCGGCAACCCTGTTTACGATATTAGGTAAATAAAATACACGGACATGATACTATTTGCTCAATTGTTTTTGTAGATATATTATAGACAATACTATCTTTTGCACGCGATATACATTTAAAAAACTTTTAAACCGACGCGCCAAATTACTGCATTATATATACATAACCACGTTTTCTTCAAATTGCAAAAATACAGTTGTTTTTTAAATTAGTTTAGTTTAATTTTGATTTGTGCAAATAATAACGGAATCGCGTTAAAATGAAAACCATTAGTCAAGTTATTTCCGAGTTTGTAGTAATGAAAGAATAACACGAATTTTTTCCTCATAGCGAAGTAAAAATAGCAAAGCTATTTCAAAGAGGTATTTTATATGCTTTTGTCCGTGACAAGCGTATAGTATATTATACAATTTTTAAGTATATATTACATTTGAGTAGATCTCAAAATCATATTAAAAATGTGGTATATCTCGTTTATATGTAGTAAAAATGTTTTCGTCTTTTTAAATAATATTTGTGATCTGTATTCTATTTGTGTTTAAATGTGTATTCTGTGTGTTGATATATTATAAGTGTATGGGTATTTCTTATCACATTACAAAATTTGAGATATTATTGATATCTGTATTGAATACAGATACATCAGTAAGAATAATGAAAAACAAGTTAATAAATTATCTTAAAAAATATTAAGCCCAAAATATAAAAATCATAGAAAAAACATCGCCGTACCACTTTTGACTTGATTTTGAGTTTTGAATTTTAAGGAAGCTGTTGAAGAATACATTAATTCATCAATATGAAAATTTAAGAGCTTTCTCGCCGACTTCTGGATATCAACTCATGACTCAGTGGAATCATTCAAATCTATTACATGATATAAATATTTTAAGAACTTCTTAGGTCTCCAAGAATATGTTTCAAAATTCGTTTTAAATAGATTCCAAAAACGAAAAATGAAACAGAAGATCTGAATATGCTTATCGCCTACCTATAAAGACAAAATATTAATGAAATAGACGCATAAATGGGTCTTGCCCTGAGATTCTGGAATTTAATATTGCTTACCTATAACCTTAAACTTAACATTAGTTACCTGGAAGATCGAAAGCGATAAGTTCAAATTCATTTAGGTAACACAATGTACACTTATGATCGTTAGTAAAGAAATACATATTAAATGCTTCTAATTGTATCTACATTTACTCCCAGTTCTCAAATCAAGGGCGTAGAACGGACGAAAAGAACTGGCAATAAAATCTCCGCCAGTCTTTTTAATCGTTAAGTTTTTTGTTTTACAAAATGTTTGTAAGGAACTGGAACCATGTCCCACATGACATCTTTAAGTACCTAATTGACTATACTAATAAAAAAAAAAAAAAGTTTTGTTCTCTATCAGCAGTAAGTATGGTGAAATAGGAGCACCCACTTATATCCTCGTGGGAACAACACGCAAAAACATAGTCGAAATAACTAAAATCACCGCATACACGAATTCAAGTCCGACCAGTTGCCACAGGCCGCCAGTTGACCTCCTATTCATTTAATTATGCCAATTGTATTATATTTCTGTATGCAACGAAGTGTTAATAAGTAAATAAAGTGCACTAGGCAGAATTTTAATATCATATTTATACAGTTAAGAGTACATATACGTAAAATGTAATTGTTTTGTTATCCTAATAATTATTAGAAATAATATCGCCTGACCAAATTTCCTTCGTAATTAAGAAAAGCAAGCTTAACATGAAATGCCTTTGATTGGATACAATAAGATGAGGGTATTTTGTATTGCTTTCTATTCGTACAAAAAAAAACTGAATTTTAATATCGTTTAATTTTTTATTTTCAGTTAATAATATTATTATTATATAAAATCAAAACATGCTTGTATTTGATAATGCATACAGTGAGCTACAAATTCCTTTCTCATAACATATTTTTAGTTTTAATAAAATTTGAATTTAAAACGTGAATATTCAGATTTTGATAGAGAACAAAAAATATTTCTAAGCAGTTTTTTATCTATAAAAACAAGAGGACCTGACAGACGTCCTCCTGAACACGCGTCTTAAATACAACAATATATATATAAATTTTACTAGCTGACCGGGCAAACGTCGTTTGCCATATATGTCATTTATAATAAAAAAATAGGGGTTGATCGTAGAGGGGTGAAAGTTAAGGGTTTGTATGTATTCTTTAATGCTGTATCATAAAAAAATTAAAAACAGAAAAAAATATCTAAAAATAAAAAATATATATTTAGGGGTGGACTACCCTTAACATTTAGGAGAGTAGTAAATATATATTTAGGGGGATGAAAAATAGATGTTGTCCGATTCTCAGACATACCCAATATGCACACAAAATTTCATGAGAATCGGTCGAGCCGTTTTGGAGGAGTATGGCAACGAAAACTGTGACACGAGAATTTTATATATTAGATTAATTGTAACTCCCAAAAAATTTCATTCAAATCGGTCTGGCCGTTTAAGAGAAGTTTAATTATAAACACACGCACAGAAGATTTATGTATATAAATATTTGGTTTTATACTAGTAACTCTATTTCAGTTGGAACGCGACAAGGCCTTTGGGATCTTCTCACGCCAGCAAAAGACTGATGTAAAATCTGCCTTCAACTCCCACACGCTGACAGCTGATGATGACATCCTGCGAAGGAGAGTTAAGCTGCTGCTGCAGCCTGGTGATTCTCTTTTGGAAACTGAACAGTGGATTCGGGTACGTTGTAATTGTTCCATAGTGTTGAAACTATACTATATAAACTTGGAAGAATTGACTTCTTTCACTTTGCATATATTTCGTGAATTTGTCAAGATTTTTTGCAACCTCTTCATTATCATATATATTTGATTCAGTTGACATGAAAACATAATCAGAATGAGCACACACCATAGTTTTTGAAATGCCGCCTTATTTCATAGAAATTCAATCCAGATAAACAAACAGTGTTCTAGCTATGACAAAATGGTTCCTTTCTGATCAGTTAGTTAATAGTATGAATATTGATGTAGTTCTTAGAAATAACAAGAGTTTATTTTTTGAGTAATTTTTGTTTTGTTTCTATAATAAAAACTCTTTCCTATTTAATTGATCCCTTTATCATATATTTTGGTACAATAAACGTAATTCTTCCTTAAATATTTACAGTTAAAATAAGAAAAAAATAAAATAGCTGTTTCTAAATCTCTAAAAATCCTTGATTATGTTGCAACAGAATTATTTTTATCCCATTTGAGTTTAAATTAAATTCTTTCCCACACGTTTAATTCACACACTCTTACACATATTTACACACCGACAACCACTAATGCTTAAGTTTTATTTGTTAATTTTATTTTGTTTGTTACTTTAGTTTAGTCATAGTATATAGTCATCTTTTTATATATTTTCTGTCCGTGATGGAAGGCTAGTGACCTGCGATTCTATAGTCCTATTAAAGGCACCAACCAGCCCCTAACAAAGATGTTTAAAACCTGCACTATGTAAACCCGTAAAATACAATGTTGTGAAGAGGCAAATAAACTTTATTATAATCTTATTACCATTTAAAGTAAAATGTATAAGTCTCATCACACGCGTAAACATATTTTGACAGAATAGAAGAAAATTAGGACTTTAGTTTACATTAATACGCAGCCAAATATAGTGCTTTATGCAAACACAAAGTTAAATGTCTCAAAATATTTCAGAATAAATCTGTTAAGCTTCATTTGTTTATCTGCATTGAATTCGTCTTTTTGAGCGTTATTTTGGTGCGCACAACCACTATGGGGAACCTAAAGTATTTGTGAAACGATTTGAATTAGGATTCTTCAAGAAAAGAGCGTACCAATTGTTAAAAGGGCAGCAACGCACTGGAGCCCTCCGGCATTGAGAGTGTCCATGGGCAGCGGTATTTATACACTATTTGTACATTAGATATCCTTGAACCATTAGAAAAATCCTTGATAAACCTACTAAAGAATCTCATCGCCAAACGATTATCGGCCTTGTAATATTCTTCTGCCACACCTGTAAGACGATTCCATATTGAACTCAAACTCACTTTAGACAGCTCTACGATTGGGCATAGACGCGAGATTGCACGTGAACTCAATAATTGGTATAATACGGCATTGACCTATATCCAGCGAAATATCCAATTCTTTATTGTATAAGATAATAGAGAACCTCATGTTAATTGCGGTATTTGATATATATGTTCGTTCAATTATGTACGAAGTTATTTAAGGAAAAATGTTTGATCGTATTTGTATCTACCCACGTATTTGAGTATTGAATTACTGAATTTGAACGATTGTATTTTCGGAAGAAATAATAATATCTTTCTTTAATATCTAAATTATATATACTGTTTATTTTCTGTTTGATTTGATAAACTTATCAATTACAAATTAATATACAATGTAGTTACTTGCGTGATGTTTTAAAAATGTTTCTCGGTGTAAAATGAGGGTAGTTTTACCTACTCATATTTAAATAAGTAAAACTACCGTCAGTTTCAAGCTCTCGGCAAATGTATAATATTTTATAATTAATTAATGATCATCTTAATTAACTACGTTATACAAAATATATGTATTGGGTGGATAGGATTTGTACTAGTCCAAACATACCGTATTCCAAATCGTAAATACTGAAAATGAAATCTACTCTAAAAACCTCATGAAGTTCGACGTATTTGACAGGATTTAGACTTGAAATATTAATGAAATTAGGCATCGGATCGAAAAACGTTAGTCTATGCTACAATTTAAAGAACATGCACAAATGTTATTCCACGACCCTTTGGCTGAATCACCATTATAATGCCAATATCAGTTCGTACTCGGTCCGTTTTGCGTCTGGTAACATATTCTTCGTTTATTCGGTTTTGACCTGAGCTTGACTGTTAAGGATAGTATGAATGCACACTTTGGTTTTCGTTTAATAATACGACGACAGAACGAACTGTAAACGGAATTATAGTGTTATCCGGTCTTAGAGGGATGTAATGAAAGAATGTGTTAATATTCTGCCTTGGCAATAATGTAAACATTAAGCCGCCTATTCAGAAAGGATTTTACCCTAGTTCGTAATAGTACTAAAGTCCTGGCGTAGCAATTATCTCTTGTTTTGCTTAAGTTAACGAGGTGGGTTGTAAGGGTTAAGGGTTCCGCTTCCCCAAACCTAACGATTATAAGGAATTATTAATATGTTTTCGTCTATGTTTAGAAGTCTATTAGGAACTTGATAAATTTGTTATTTTCAGTATATACGTGTGTTATTATATATATTACAACATTGTTACTTCCCTTTTGATCCTTGTCAGTGAGTTATTATGGAGTCTACCCATATAGCTTTTTTAACTAAAACTACGTTATATGAAGTGAAGATTTTTAATCAAATTTAAGATAATACTATTGTTGATAAGTGTTAACGCTTTTAAGCGTATTAACTCTCTAACTAAAATCTAGACTAGAGAAGTTAATAAACATATATGTTAAACTAAAACATAATTAAAAGTCCACTCACTGGTGTCATTATTTTTAGTTATTTATTAATCAGTACGTTAAAATGTGTGTTTGTTTAAAATATAAAAGAAAATATCACTTCACAAATTTTACACACATACACTTTAATTATATTAGAACTTAAAAGTTATACAAGCAAACAGCAAAAAAACCTAGATTAAAAATTTAATAGAAACTTAAACCTAATTAAGACCGTGACGCACAAAATGACGGTATGTGGGAAGATTTCAATATTAAATATAAAATAATATTATCCAAACAATAACATTATACACAAAAGCCAAAAAGGAAATACACATTCGTTTTTTAGGTAACAATTTTTACCAATTTATACAAAAAAAAAAAAAAAGGTGTGTGTGTCAGCTACGACGCACGATTGGAGTTTACTCCTTACGAACGATAAAATGGCGATAATGTTCTCTGGCTGTCGACCATATTTTCATACTAAAGGTGGTAAGAATATATGTTTTTATAATATAAATGTTTGTAGTAGTAATAAAACATACCTACATCATCTATGCCCAAATAGGATTTTCTTTCTGTGACCAAAGTTACCTTTATAGTAAGAGAAGAATAAGAATGAACAATCTTTTTAGTTTTAATTTCACTGACCATTACTATTGACAAAACTCTATGGCACGCTAGACAATCTACTTTTATTTTTTACACCTGTCAACACTGACAATGTTGTAACGTGGCTGTCAAAACGTGAATTCAAAATAGAAAAGTCTGTGTAATGTATTCCATCTCATTCTTTTACACGTTCAATCCATTTGTCTCTTTCTACATAACGCCTCAACTTTTCGTGTTACACATAACGCCTCAACTTTTCGTGTTACACTTGATTTTACTCCTCATAAAATTTCCGTACCGGGCCTTATAACTCAAATCGTTTCTTAAGAAGTAAACTCCAAAAAATATGTATTATTTATAATGAATTCCAATAAGCATTAATCCGTATTATATATATTAATTAAAAATGAAGAATAACAAAGCCATCATTATTAGAAGATTCCAGACTTTTTGAAGTGAAACTTCTTTATCGAGGTTGGAAAAAAATTTAGTGTAACATTTTTTCGTTACGCGTCACATTTTTCGGTTACGCGCCATGTTGCTTTTTGAAGTTAAACTTCTTTATCGGCGTTGGAATGAAACTTCTTTATCGACGTATGGGAGAAATTTTGTAGCAAATCGTCACGTTTTTCAATGATAGTAATAATTCTATTACAATTAATGAAATTCTATAATAATCTTCGTAGTAATAAGGTAAAATGAAATATTTGTATTCATGTCTATGATAATAAAAGCCTTTTGTTAAACTTTATCTAATTTAACGAATTTCTGTAAAGTTGCATATAGTAGATCATTTTTCGAAAAATAATAATCATAAAGAAGTTTCACTTCTTACGTGTGTACACCTAGTACACGCACAATTTATTTTTATATCATTTTTTAACTATATTTTATTTAGTTACCTTAAATATATCTATTTGCTGGTAATTTGTGTTATAATCGGAGGATATACGAACATTGTGTTTTCTACTTAGATACTTTTATAATGATTATTGCACTAAGTGTATGAAAGAAAACAAAGTCAATATACGTTAAAAACACATACCCGAAGAACATTGTTTCAAACAACCTGATTAGCAAGTTTATTCAGCATGTAGCAATGTGCTCCACTTAACTGCGCACGTTGAGAGTCGTTAAACCGAACAATTGCTCCTTGCCTCAAATTCAGCGTGTGTTAACCATTTATTGTTTCATACATTGTTAATTTACTTCCCAACCGATGAATGCATATAACTTAGTAGAAATGGAAGCCAAAAGTAATGTACGCGTTTCATGTGACTGATTTGTTTCTATACACTTATTGTTCTTCTCGATATTTGAACTTGAACTAAAAAGCTACGGACTTGAATAGATCATAGAGTATTGTAATGTCAAGTTATTGAAGCTGGAAATACCAGTAATGCTACAAGTTCTAGGTCTGGGTTTTATTGGTACACAGCCGAAGATCGAACCTTTAATCTCAGGGTTGAGCCACTGCTTTACTGCTCTGCTTAGAACTTTGCAAAACCTTGTGATGTGTTTTAGTATCTAAAGTAAGAAACATTTGTCGTAGGTCTAACTACCCACATTATATACACAATTTTATAAACAAATTTTAGCAATGACCAAGGAATGTAATGAACTTTAAATCTATTTACATTTAAAACCGAGTTTCTGTGACTATAATTTTGATTTGCATTAATAATGTTGTTAGGTTATGTCTTATGCACTATTCTTGTTCACAGCTGGTGACATTTGCAGACACCTCACTCAACCACATCCGATTCGCTCCGGATTACGAATGCGGCACAAATAATTGTACTTTAAGAGGTAATATAACTTTATATTTTCCACTATTTCTCTGTTTTGCTTACTAAAGTGTTATTCCCGTTATTTGTATTTTATTATCAATAATTTCATTTAATTTAAAATTTATTTTAATTTAAATTTTTATAGAAAAATATTTTTTAATTTAATAAAAATAGGTATAATGATAAAATTAGTATATAATTTATAAATAAAATAAAAATTATTTAAATTAATAAAAAGGAATTCGGCAAAAATTTATATTCACTTGTTTATCAAAAACATGTCTTTTTGAAAATAATTTAAAGTCTAATCTGCCCACTGAATTATTTTAAAGGGCTGCAGTATATTGACTGTACAAAGGTAGCATAATCATTAGTCTTTTAATTGAAGACTTGTATGAATGATTTGATGAAATATAAACTGTCTCTTTATTAAAAATAGAATTTATTTTTTTAGTTAAAAAGCTAAATTTATTTAATAGACGAGAAGACCTAAAAATTATATCAATTTTGTAAAACAAAATTATTTAATATTTACTGGGGTGATAGAAAAATGTAAATATTTTAATTTACTTTCATAAACAAAGCTAATTTTAAGAAATTCTGAAAGTTTCATACATCGTCGGTTACATAGATCACTATTTAAGAATTAACCACCCTTGTTTGCCTTGCTAAAACACTTATTGATTGGTTGGAATTGGAATTCAAGACTAGCGGACTATCCTATGCTATAACCACGAAGCTACAGTTAATCTAACAAAAATTAAAGTAACGAAGGCTGGCCTTAAAAGCTCTAATTTCAAATATATTATCTTTAGTCACAATCTTAGAACTTTACGTAACATAATTTATGTTTATAAATAAGGACTTTAAAATTGATTATATCAGCTCAACCCGGGGGGAGAAACGAAAAACGATATCATTGTTCGCAAACGATAGGTCGCGATCTTAATGATGTTACGTTCCATTGTCCAATCACAAACGAACGCAACGTTTCCGTTAAATATCAATTTCAATTTCGCGCCTTTGTAATGTCACTGCTCTGTTAGTATTGTGTTTGCTTTATTCTCTCTACTCTGTGTCATTACAAGTTACCAATATTGTTCTTTGTATTATTTAAAGTAAATTATATTTCTCGAATCGTTTTCTGTTATTTATAAAATTTACAGTTTCGTTTTACCACCTTTACTTCCCGGTAACTGCAACAATTTAAATTTGTACTTTAGCTATATGTATAAAAATTATTGTGAATTGGATAAAAACTGAACTCATTTTTGAAAATTGAAAATTTTAAACGACTGTTAATTTAACTTTTAATATAAATCGATGAAGAATATTAAATTTTCACCTTTAGTGACCATGGTATGTAAGTTATTAAATAATGAATTAATTTTTTTATTGAAATTATCGAAAAATTTAATTACAAGAATTGTAATCAAACTTTTCTACCAACAAATCGTCTTATTTACAGTTATAACAAATATCATTATTTAGTATTTTATTTTTTGTTCAAGAAGTAAAAATAACATACACATAACAAATATTTAAAACAGGATATATATTTATGTTTTAATTATAGCAATTAAAGTAAATACAAGAAAACACAACTTAATTAAACGGAAATATACTAATAATAGGTACCAATACATGAAAATATAAACGATATAAGAACAAAAATTATCAATAAAAAAAACAATATATACTGGATAACTTAAAACGTTGGATGGCTCGAATTGTTATTCGAAAATAATATATATTTTTTTATTCCTTAAAATTCCAATCCACCCATTTTCGCGATAATTTTACGACCAACTCCAACAATTATTGCACACAGATACTACTACATATATTGGAGGAAGTCCATATTGGATTCGACTTTGCTAATTGGATCCTTTAACTGTAAACATATATATATTTTTACTAAATTGTATGTGAATATGCTCGAGTGTGGAACATTTAATACCCACAGTGGGTCCTTTAATTATCTTTTTTTACATAGTAATATATTTTTGGGAATCTTTCGTAGCCATCCAGTTGAATATTAATTATTAAAATAAATATCAGCGCGATCATGTACCAGTATTTGCTTCGTTGAATAATCAACTAATTAATACAACTTTATACGCTATAGAGTGAAATACAGCTAAGTCTAGACTTTAGATTCTGAACTATTTTAATTAAATGGTATTCGTTTTGAGAATTAAGAAACGACTGCACTGTCTAAGTTATAAGTTCTACTATCAGTCCATATGTGTAGATTTAATAACTTCATAATTGGCAAACAATTAATGAAGTATATGGTAGAAAATATATAAAATAACCAACTTAAACAGTATTATTTATTGATATTTCAATGTTGGGCAATGTAAGTCTGGTAAGAGGTTTTTCAAAGTGTTACTATTAATAGTAATTTAGCTATTATAAAAATGGTTGTATGTAAAGTTGGTTTACAGACGATAGTTTAACGTGATAACGTCATAACAAAACATTGATGAAATGATTGCATACTTAAGTCTGAGTGAAAGAGAGAAAGATGCGGCGCAAGCGTACAATAAGCCGTAACGGGACAATGAGCGTAACAGGACAATGACTCATGATTATTCGATTTATTAGACATTGTCACGTCAAAAAACCTCTAACATATATACATGTAAATAGTCATATACATATGTATATAGTCTTCAAAATGAACCCATATGACTTCCAAAACGATAGCTATGGCAACCGCCATAAAAATTTCATTCTCTCAACATTCCTAGATTTCGCAACCTCGGGATCGCGCGGTACAAAAACTCAATTTTTGTGACAGAGTACCGTGTTGTGTGAGTGCTGAAGTGAACTTAAATAAATTTTCAGCCGCTTTAATGATGAATAATGTAATAATTTGATTGCTAGTCATGGAATACTTTTTGTTCGTAAAGATTATTATTGTAATATTTAAAGTCACAGACAGAAACATTGTCTTAGGTGAGTTAAGTTCAGTGGCGGTAGTTGGAGGGATGTTCAAATAGATGAAACTTTTTGTTTGAAGCTAGGTGTTAACTAGCTTTAATTGTTTAAAACATGAGCTTATAACTAACATACAATTAGGGGTATTAGTTTTCCGACGCTAGACTAACACAAAACTAACTTAACTTGGGTTCTTAAATCTAAGACATATTATTTATATCGTCTTCAAGTGTAAGATGATTGTTAAAATTTGCGCTTCTAATTATTAACTTAACTATATATATGTAACTTTACTAATGTTAGGTTACATAACTTGCGCCATGTGATTTTTAAAAATATTTTATTAAATTAATAAAATGTTTTTGCCATTCCTAGCTTCATGTTTGGGCCTTAATCTTAATTTTATATTGCAGAATTACAGAACAATCTAGCACGAGAACAAGATGAGCAAATCCTCAAGCGAATGAAAGAGTCATGGGAGAAGAAGCTACCAGACTTCAACGATTATTTAGATAACATTCTACCATTACTAAGGAATGCTTCTAAAGAAAACCGTAAGTATGATATCAATAATCGTACTTCAACTGTTTTAAAATAATTTAAGACTTTCGTTTTATCTCAATATTAATAATACTAGCTACTACAGTGAAGGCAAACATTTGAAAAACCTGTCTTAACCCCGAAATTCATGTACCAGGTACTGAAGGTTGATCACACTACTTGTTTATGAAAATTATCAAAGATACTGTCAAATATAAGGCTGTCATGCCGCTGGATTATTATTATTTTAATGTATAATTTACCTTTATCGTAAATTGCTAAATAGAATAAAAGGAAATACATAATTTTCATTGTTTTTTATGCAAACAAAAGCCGGCGAAAGTTATTTTAATGCAAATGAAAATATGTTTTCATTCCGCAGTGTTAATTGGTATATACTGGCCGGACTCTGAATTGCAATATTTCGCTTCCACACGCAACTTTTTTATTGCCTTGTACTTTTTTAACACCGTATGTTTTGTAAATTATCTCTTCATTCAGGCATTGAGTTTGAAAACGCAGATAATTTTTTTACATAAAACCTTTTATCAAGAAATTGTTCCAAATTCAAATGTAGTAAATGTATGTCGTTAGTGTAACAATTATAATTTTTAATTCTTTTGTTTTTAGTGTATGACTCTGTGGAGGAATACTGGGACGCCCTCACAGAGTATGAAGGCGCAACGTTGAAGGCTCGTGAGATCTGGGATCATGTGAAGCCATTATACACGAAGCTGAACAAATATGTCGCTTTAAGACTGAAGGGGGCAGACGCTGTTGGGAAACCATTGCCAATTCATTCACTAAGTAAGTCGCCCAGAGGAAACGTATTAAATAACGCAACCAAAATACAAATAATAAATTTTATATTTCCAAAACACAAATAACAGTCGATGAAAGAAAACGCGCCAGTACCTTAATTTTACGATAGTTTTGTGGATGAATTCTATGATTTATATTTTTATCTTGAAAGTTCTATACAACTTGAACAGCTAAAACAATGCTATTCAAAGGCTGTATTAATTCTGGTGTGTGTGCTTGCTTCTGTCTAGTTACGGAGCGTATTCCAAGCGTGACGATTAAATTTTAATTAGGACTATTAAATATTTTTGTCGTCTGTGCAGTAATGACCGCTTTTGCGAAAACATTGTTACCTTGCGTTCTCTCCTATGGACATGTAAGAATCAACCTAATCATAATATCGCCTCTAGCATTTTGACCATCTCAGTGTTAAGATGATCAAATATAATTAGTTTTTTATTTCACTTGTATGGTATTAAATAAAGATCGCAATAGAGAAAACAACATTCAAGGGAAAGCAATATATTTATTTCCAAACAAATGGACAGTTGACACATCTTTATGTTATGTCATACGCCATCGTCAAACTAAGCACAGACTATATGTAAGAAATTAATTTTAATAAATACATATCCTTTAACGGTACTATAATATTACAAAGCATAGTATACATTTTCGGAATTAGATTGTTTTTATTCTTAAATAACTAAAATTATACGGCATAACTCATAAGTGATGTTCAAAATATACGAATGTAAAAATGGTATACAAGATAAATTATCTCCTACATAAAGAGGCTTCGATCGGAAATCAAATTGAGGCAGATAACATCCAGAGGATGTCAAGACCACGATATCAAAAATCGTGACCTTACTTATTTCAATATTCTGATAAGATTTTTCACATCTTGAATTGGAATTCAATTCATGATTATTTATTAGAAAAAATATATATTGCATTAATTAAAGTGTATAGTGTAATGCCCTCTAGCGAAAAAGCTTTTCAAGCAAGCCAAACCTGTCATATTGTTCTGAAAATTCTGACTAAATCATTATAGCAGGGGAAGACGTGACAGGGGAAGGATTTTAATATACAATCATAAATTGACAGTTAATTTTGATTTTATTTATTTCGTAGTCAATTCGACTAAAAGTTATGTTAGAAACGCTCTAAATTAAATCCATAAGACAAAAAACTGAATAATTTAGTTACGGTAATAAAAAACTTCTTTATCTTAGAAATGTAATTTCACTCAATATTGTTAATGCTTTTAGGCTCGAAAGCTCAAGTTTACCACAGGATAAATATACAAAGTGTTATTTCAGGACAATATTCCCAGTAATTCATTATAAAGCTAGAAAAACAAGCTGACTAAACACAACAAAGTTTATTTGGTCAGGTTCTGCCCCTCATTTGCTTATTACGTGACATGATTCCGTAGTACTCTTTGCTTTTAAAGCAGAGAATTTCCTTCTAAAAATCGTTCTTCATTCTCAAAAAAACTTAAATGTTTCTAGAATAAAACTTATTTTGTTATTATTCCGTGAATCAAACACCGCAAGCATTCGGCAGGTATAAGTCATGTTTCGTGATTAAACAAACATATATTATAGAATTTGCATTTAAAACGAAATGGTACATCAGTACAGTGATACATTTGACAAAAAGCTTCCTTTCCATTTTTATCAATTTTATATCGTATCATGTACAATATTTCCTTTTAACCGAATAAAAGACTAATGGAGACTGTTAAGAGATTAATTTCATTTACAATTTTTATGAAATATTTCGTACAATGAGATTGCAGACTTTTTTATCCTAAGCTTTTACATCTTAATATATATATAAATTACGTGTCACGTTGTTTGTCCGCTATGGACTCCTAAACTACTTGGCCGATTTCAATCAAATTTGCACACCGTGTGCAGTTTGATCCAACTTAAAAGATAGGATAGTTGACAACTCAATTTATACCCGCAATATTATTTTATTGCAAAATATTTGTTTATTATTTGATAGTCACAATTCTAACAGATGGCGTTGTGTTGAAAGTACCAACGTTTCACATAAGCTACAATTTAATGGCATAACCACCAATAAAGCATGGTGGTCCCCATGACTGGTGTTTTCCTACCGTTTCCCTTGAATAGTTTGCTACAATGTAATATAACAAAAACCTTAGCCACAGCAACGCTTGGCCGGTCTGCTAGTAAAAATATAAATTAAATGACATTAAAATATTCCCGTTTTAAATCGTATTTACAGAATTGTATAGTACCAAATACTTGTTAACGTTAATTTTAACGCTTAAAATCGCAGACGAAATATTCGTTTGAACTCAGTATAAATCTCACTATTTTACAGCTATAAAAATTCCCTGGAGAAACATATTCCGATGCTTTTCTTATATGCCAATAAAATCTATCGAAATACGGTTATACGATTTTCGTCGAGAAGGATTGTAAATAACGATACTTTCAAATCTTTCTAGGGTCCCTGACCGGGGATGACTGGTCAAATTTAATTGAGATTTTACTACCTAAACATTCGGATATTTACCAGAAGGTCTATGCCAATTTGCATGTTATGGTAAGTTTTTATTTATTTTAAATTGCATGCATTTTTATATTTAATCATTAAAAAAAAAATAAGTGCGATGATTGCTTCGTTTGGAAGGTCTTTTGTCGATGTTTACTTCAGTCTAAATGTTAAATCCGTTATGTCAAAAGTCAACATGGGACCAATTTCTAAGTCTGTTTATAAGTTTTACGGCAAAAACCTGCTGTGCCTACCAACACGAGAGATAGTTAAAGTTCTTTTAATATCAAACCCAGGGCCGGACGCTGTATGCGTTAAATGCGTTAGTTCGTTATAGTTACTTGGGTATGCATAAAATATATTTTCGCTACATCCCCAAGAGCCATCGTGCATCAACTGCTTACATTTTAAATGTATGAATAAAATAAAAGACCGTAAACATTTTTCATTCGCTACGTAACTCCTTTTTGTTCTTTTACAATTATTATAACAGCTTCTCTGTAGATTTTTCACAAATCTTTTTTTCCTTCTTGCTCGTGATACTACATAAAAACACACATGTATTATCTTCATTTTATACAGTTTAAGGAAGTATCTTTATCTTGTATACTTTGTTCTAGGACATGGGTGGCTTGAACGCATACAGAGAAGCCGAGAAAGTCATAAACCATCTTAACTTTGGTGAAATACCCTCAGAAATAATAAATGAATCAGACTACAACGGTACTTGCCCATCGACAATTGTTGACTGGTGCCAGCCAAATAAACTGAAACTTGTTACTTGCAAGGATGTTAGTATATCCAATTACATGGAAGCTCATGAGATAGCTATGAAATTAAAGTACAAACTGATTGCTGCTACGCACAGTAACAATACATATGCACTAAGAGAAGCCCCCAGATACTCAGGTAAATTTTAATCTATGTTATGCAAACCGAATCATGTATACGTACTTCGTTTATGAAGTTCCAGGGCCTAATTCCCAGCAAAGGACATTGAAAATCATAAAAACAGTAAAAAATCTGTCTATACCCCCCTCTCCCCTCTACTGAAATCACACGAAATAACGTTTCTTACTAGAACGATAACGTTATGTTATCGTAAATAAATACGCAATGCAATAAAAACAGTTATGGATTGCACAGTCTACCTATTCATATTTCTCTTTATTAAATATTATCTTTTTGCAGCTGTCTACGAGGCTATTCCAGGCTTTGTTTCACTATTATCAATGACTCCACATACTCTGGACCGCGCTGGGTTATATTCTCTGGAAAGGTTTAACTACAATCCAAACTACCACCGCCTTGTGCTACAGCTCATGATTGCTTTGCGTGATTTACCTAGGTACTGATACTATTATTATTTTACAATAATATGAATTATCATGAGTATCTCAAATAGGAGGATTATTTGGTACTCTAATAAATAATTGTTTTCCGGATTTGCATGACATAATATTTATTTTATGAAATATATAGACATTTTATGAAGTATTGGACTTTTTGGTTTTCAATAGTTTCCGCAGCGTACGTTGTAGGAATTTTTATTAGTATTTTTTGCACATCTTGGGTTACATTATCGAAGTTTTCTTTCGGGTCCACAACTTTAAAAAAAATATTCTATAGCCTATGTTCATCATAGGATAATGTATAATTCTGATTCTGAAAGTTTTTTTAAATCGGCACTGTATTTTGTAGCCCATTCAATGCAAACATTGAAATCTTTCCTTTATAATATTTGTCTAGACGATAAGAAATTAAGAGCAATATTGTGTTTAATCATAGGTTAAAAATATTTTGAAAACATAATAAATAAAATATTCAATATTATATTACACATAACATTTTTAATAGAAACAAGAGTGCCTTATTTCTTGTGGACTGAGGGTGTCCATGATTTTCTGGCTGTATGCCAAGCAGGTTTTAATCAACCTTCATTCTATAAAGAGCATTTTCTTAAGTTTTATATTTATTTTTTCAGATTGAACTTTTACATGGCGGCAGATGAATGGCGTCTCCAGGTATTGATGGGAAAGGTTCCTTTTGCAAAAATTGCAAGCAGCTGGAGCGAGTTCCGGAAAAATTTCTCTCTTATCGAGTCTTCCAATATTGATATTTTGGGAGACCCTTACGTCCTTATGAATAAACCACATGTAGGGTGCGTTGAAAATTAATTAATTTTTATATCATCTAAAATTTTTTCTTCAACCACTTCACAATTCTATATTCAAATTGAGATACGCAAATTGATTCAATATTGTTACACAGACTCCTAGTTAGAAATCAAAGTATATTTTAAATTAAATAATATTGTAATCACTCTTAATTTTTACATTTACAGAAAATTCATGGGGTTGATTCTGAAGTATCAAGTATATCAATCATTTGCTGAAGAACTGATGTCAGATGATGATGATTTGGTAGAACATGTTGCGGAAAATAACCAACGACTAATGTGAGTTTATTTTAACATATTCACACAACAATAACAGATTTTAATCGAAAATTTATTCAGAATAAAAAGTGCCTACACAAAATGAATGCTTCTGCTTATTACTTTAACCAAAATTGTAACTCGATTAAAGGAAATATATAAACCATTAGATTGTTTCAACGTAAAAATTTAACGTAAGTATTTTGTTTCAGTGATACAATGATGCACGGTTACGCCTTTGTCTGGACCGAAATGGTCAGCGATCTACTTGCTAAACGTGAAAATGGTCTAGAGTACACAGGCCTTACAGATTACTTCAGACTCTTAGACGAATATCTTGATAACCAGTTAGATCCAACCAGTGAAAACACTTTTGAAGAATACATAGATCCACCAACAGAGGCTGATAATGAAAACGAAATAGTTGATGAAAATAAGGAAAACAAGGAACCAGATTATGAAGATAATGAGGATCAGCAAAAAACACATGATGATATAAATGAAAATATCATCGAAACTGAAGATGAGTCTCATGCAAAGTCCGGAAGCGAGGCATCTACAGTTGGAGTGCTTGAAATCAAGAATCCTGTCGCAGCTTCAGATCCGAATGAAAACATTAATCCTAAGGAAGCATCTTACAATGTATATTGGTGGATAGGCATTGCTGTAGCGATAGCAGTTGTTATTGTACTCGTTGCTATTGTAGCAAGAAAGCGCCACAATCACAGAAAACAGTTAGAACGCCAAAGACGACAGAACTCGTCCGCCTGATTTGAGGAATATCGGTTCTAGAAACGGAACCGATTTAAGACATTAGTGAAATTGTGCCAATACGGTATATGTGTGAGTCTGAGTACAAATATGTTTCATGTGTATTTAATTTTTATGTGTTTGTGTCTCTCTCTGGTGCTCTTAACATAATTCCATTTCACCGCATTTAAATTTTATTTTTATCATAGAATCTTCATATACATTAAGTGTAATGGTAAGGAGAAGGAAATATTTTTGTACATATCACAATTTGAGGATAAATGATTGTTACCAAGTGTTTAAAATAGGTGTATTTATACTTAGGTGTAATTTCGCTGTGCCTTAAGCGTTTCAATTTCGTGTAAGTACTATTAATAATATAGGGTGATCTTTGTAATAAATACAAAGTAAATTTTATAAATCTTTACTATGGCGTATAATGACCAAATTTCGAAAACGTTCAGTTATATTTTATTTCGTTTCTTTTTATTCGACGTTCAAATTGTAATTAATGAAATACATATTAACTTATTCGATATTTATAATGTTTATTTAACTAGTTACTTATTGTCGAAGCATGAAATACCAAATATTGTCAAAATTTCAAGAAAATAAATGTTTTAAACATATTTACGCTTTTATTTCATAATTCTCCAGACAGTACAGACAGTCTTAATTATATTTTCTGTTTCTATTGTAGTTATAATTGATCAGAAAAGTATATAGTAACTTTTTAGATTTGGTTTATCCCGTTTCAGCACAAACTACTGCTCTATTCATGGGAGGCTTTATATCGCGCTTCAACTGAATCCGCCTGAGTGAAACCGTAGGGCAACGATACATATTATAAAGTTGAATAGCCGAATTTATATAATCCATTTATCGAGAGAAGCTTCCATGCCCAAATTAACGCGGTTGAAACTACGGCTTAGTTAGTATAAAATACGCGATGTTATAGATATGTTTTTGCCTTCCTTGCGACAAGGGTTGGCATATGATTTAGGACCGTTGACCGCTTATCGTGATGAACAAGTATGATTCTTTTGTAAATTAAATAACCCTGTAGGTGGTGGCTGTATAAAATTCATTGTTGTTTTTAACATGCGTATTTATTACATTTTTAATTAGTTTATTTATTTTAGTTAAGAATCTTTATTTAAGATTTTGTAACATATAGTAAAAGTTTTAAATTTTTTGACATTTTATGCTATAGGCACGAGTATCAATTTGTTTTGTGAACTGCTGCTTTTCCTCCGACCTGAAGGGAGGAGCTTTTACTGTCTAACCACTGAATGACCGGCTCGAAATCTGTTGGGTTAGGTTAGCTTTGTCGCCATCAGGGTTGGATGGATCTCTTAGGTTGAATGCTCCCCCGAAGGTCCATCATAAGGGCGTGATGGATGGCTGATGTGTTTTCAGAGGGTATGGTCCGGCTACCACTTTGAATAGCAGAGAGCTTTGAGTGTAGACCCAGCCCTACAGTCCAGGCGTCAAGCTGCGCCATACCGCATTTTTTTTTGTAAGGAATCTCGCCGTTGGCCTTAAGGGCCTTTAGGTGCGCGAACGCTGGGCCATAGCGCAGGCCTGCGTAAGCACACTTACACCTTCAAAAAAAAGTCACCATCAGTATGAGTAATATACTTTCTGTAAATCTTAGGATTACTTGGTTCTATTACCAGCGAAACATTATTTATTTCTTTGTTCATAGTTGTTCTTTATAGGGACAGATTTGCTTTAAAATATTACCATCAAAACGCGATGATGTGTCTGCCTCTGCCCCATTGTCATTGGACATTAACAGAACATCAAAGAGCATTAAGAGATTAAGTACAAACAAACAAGACTTAGGGATTTTTAATATATGTCGCTATTTTTAACTCACTACAACAAAGATATAATATTTAGACTTATTTATTAACATATACTTTGAATCTAAACCTAAAAACCTTAATAAAATATAATATAATAACTAAAATATATTATTAAAAGGAGTCCCTTTAGGCAAGGTTCCGAAGATACTAGCAGTGTTCCCCCTTTGAATAGACAGACTAATTCTTTGTCCGAGGTAGCTGCCAGCTCTTCGGTCTCCTGTGAGGTCGACTAACGACATTTAGACTTTAATGTCTACAAAATTTCTTAATTCTATTATAAATTAAACAAAGCTGCAAATAACAGTATGATGCACATAAAAAACCTAACCGAACGAAGAATTTCAAATCTTGGATTAATTTTACATCACGCGGAATACATTCATTCATCATTATTGATTAAAAAACCTTTTGTGACACGAAGAATATGGTACATTAAACGAAAAAATATTCTCGATGAAAATCTATTAGTAATCTAGTACTATTTCGAAAGTAGATAACGCCTATTTATATAGTAGTTGAGAAATGTTCACCTTATCAGAACGATTTTCCTGTTTACATCCAATTTCCTTACTCGAAACCAAAACAGTTCTTAATGGGTCGGGCGCTGTTATATTAAAGGTATATTGACGGCCATGGATTAAAACTTGAGCCGTAGAGCATAAAAAATATTTAGTGCTCGACCATAAAGCGATATTCATAAATAAAAAAGTTTTTACATTATAAGAGATTGATGCACTTTGAGAAAGTACCGACGAAGAGTAGCGAATTGTCCATTAGTGTAGGTACTGTAGTTTAGACTTTTATTTTAGGCTAATATATTTGTTAAAAAATATATGTTCGGACATATACACAGGCACTGCTGTTAAATTAAAAGTATTGTACTATTTAGTATTAAGTAAAAGCGAGTTTACGAAGTGAGTAAAGCGTGAAACTCTCAATCCTGAGGTCGTGGATTCGAATCATAGGTATGTATGTATTCGTTCTGTGTACGTACTTTATACATCATGCCATAGGCTCAAAAAAGGCACTACTCGACAGCACAAAAGGCAAGTCTTTTTTTAATAAATAAAATGATATTTGAGACGACCGGTTTATGAAGCGCTACTGGAGTTTTTATTACGAATATAACACAGAGCAATCTTGGGCTTCAGCGTGCGGTCTTAGGTTCGATTACCGATCCCCGGATGTGCACCAATGTACTTTCTGTATATGTCCGCAATTAACATTCGCTCGAACGGTTAAGGAAAACATCGTGAGGAAACTTGCCTTAGACACAAAATGTCGACGTCGTGTGTCAGGCACAGGAGGCCAATAACCTACTTGCCTATTAGAAAAATGATCACCAGATACAGAAATAGGCCCAGACCTAAATAGGTTGTAGCGCCACTGATTTATTTGTTTTATTTTATAACACAGATTTACTTTATAGTATATATTTTAATGTTGTTATTATTTGTAGTTTTATGTTTTTACATTTGTAATTTGTTACGTAGACCTGTATCCCACCACTTGGCAAGGGTTCGACGGGTTCCTACAATCGCTAGGTAGAAATAAATAATTTATGTTTTAATAACATGTGAATGTATCCATCAAATATAGTAACATCATTACATATTTTTTGAATTTTTAGTTATAGTATTTAACATTTGTTTTTTAAGTAGGTATATCATTTTAAGTCGACTACAATGGACACATTAAATTAGATTAATTTTCCACCAACACATCAAATTTTGTTTTAATTTTAAAAGACAAAATCGGCTTTGGACTTAAAATACATATTTACATAAGTGTTTATTGAAAACTCAACTACAAGAAAATATCAACTGTTTATTAACACTTGTTGTTTAATAACAGAGAAATACAATTAGATCTTTATGAAACAGTCGTAACCTACTTGGTTAGCTTAACAGAACGTTTGATAATTTAGATATATAGATATCTAAGTTATTTTAATCTTATATTTATCTGTAAATAAGCTTTTACTTAATTAATTAAGTAATAAAATTAGGATTAATTCAAATATTTAGATCAATCTCTGAAAATAAAGTACAAAGATTTCGATTGTTGTTTGTATGGAAGATGAAGTCGGCACCTGTTTGAGAACTGTCTGTAGTAAAACGCGCATTTGAAAGAATTTGAACAATAGCGATTCAAATATGTCAATATGTAATTGTACTATCCTATATATTTATACTATCCTATATCGAAGCCCAAAAGTGTAACTTAGCTGCAACTATCAATTCGATACTTCCTGTGTTTTTAAATATATGCAAAAGTACCATAAAACAACTTGCTCAATTTGCCAAAGATATTTTATATTTTAAAACAGTATCGCCCCGTGACCATTAGTTCATACCACACATACAGATTGAATAAAATACTTGGTTAATATAATTAAATCGTCAGATTAAAATTATGCATGACAAAATTTTTTATTAGAATTAAACTTAGTAAAACACTAAAGTTTCATTAAAAATTTGTTTACTTTATGGCAATTAATCACGATGGTTTATGCATTGCTTGACGTTTATTTAACGATCCGTTTCCTATATTGGTTAGTGTAAAGGAATATAGTTTTAACTGATTACGTCGCGTTTATAGCATTTTTAATTAAACTTTAGATCGTGACACGAGACAGTCCACTCGATTAAAGCTTATAGAATCGTTAAATTGAGAAAATCAAATACGTTTTAAATTTAAAATATATAATATTGTTCCCCTATATCCAACATATATATTTTTTATTATTTAGAAAATCCTTAAATCTTTATGTTGAAATAGTGGTTTTTTATCATAGTTTATATTTTTATAATAACAATGAAGTAAACTAAAATTTAACAAAATATATTAAGTCGTTTTTAACGTCGTTAATTTCGACTTATTATAAAATTATTAGCTGACCCGGCAAACGTTTGTTTTGTCATATTAATCGTAGAGGGCTGCTATTAGGGGTTGTATGTATTTTTGTATGTTGCATCATAAAAGAAAACAAAAAGAAATTTCTATAAAATAAAAATAATAATTTGTCGTGGACACCCCTTAACACTTAGAGGTTTGAAAGATAGATTGTAGCCGATTCTCAGACTTCCTGAATATGAATATAAAATTTCGTAAGAATCGGTCGAGCCGTTTCGGAGGAGTATAGGAACG